CCCTCTGCCTTTGCTTACTCAACAATTTCCATCTGGATGCCCTCCTCCCTCTTTCCTGCTTCTGAGCCCTCACAAAGCACAGTCCCCTTGGGAGCTGAGACTGAGCAAGTGGACCTGACTTGCACTTGCAGCCTTGTGCCTGCCACGTGGCTGCTGGCTGTGCTATGCTGGCCAACCCCTGGCCAAGTCACCATAAAGCAGTATCAGAGGGACTGTGCCTCAGCAGGCCCTTTGTCCCCTTGGGAAAAAATGTCTGAGAACTTCTCCCCAGGTCAAAGTGCAGGCTGATTTCCAGAGGAGACTCCAACTGTCCCCATTACTTGAGGGCCTCTGACCTTCTCTACCATGCCTGACTCATCCTGCCATCCTCTGCTGTCTTTATTTGTGCATGTATGGAGGGGAGGAGGTTGCCTTCCCCACATAAAGGTGAGGCCTCTGAGGCAGGCTCTGAGGGCCCCTGAGAATTGTTAGGAAGTGATAAATTAATAACTGAGTCCTTACATGGATAGCTCCTGACACATTAGTCAGGGAGGCCAATTACAATAACAAACACACTCCTATCTCAGTGGCTTTAGCCAGTAAAAGGGCATGTTTTTGCGCACACAAAGTCCAGCATGGATATTCCTGCTTGGATGGCTCCCTTGGGCAGCCCTCCTCTGAGATCAGGGCTCTATACTCCTTGCATCTTGTGCTATTGATGTCTTCAACACGAAGCCTCCAAGGTTGCTGTGAAAGAAGGAGAGACCTTTCCCCTCTGGCCAAGCCTCTCCCCCACCCCCTATCTTCCATCCTGGCACCCGTCTGTCTAATGGCCACCTTGTACTCCATCCTAGCCCAGGCTGGGGGGGTCACAGTCATCCTTCCTACCTGCAGCTTTTGCTCAAGCTGTTGCTCCCACCCCTCTGGGTCCCCTTTATATGGCTAGCTCAGTCTTTGTCCTCCAAGGCAAGCTGCCTTGTGCAGAAGTAAACAGCATTGGTGTGGTACAGTCTAGCCTCTGAAGCTCATCCACCATCACTGTAGCAGCCAGCCTCCAAGCTGGCACCCAGGGATCCCACCCCCAGGTATTCACACCCTTGTATGGAGTGTGGACTGGACTTAGTGACTCACATCTAACCAAGAGAGTAAGGTGGAATTGATAGTGTGAGACTCAGAGACCAGGTCATAAAAGGCAGTGTGGCCTCTCTCTTTCTCTTGACTCACTCACTCTGGGAGAAGCCATCCATGTCATTGGCAGTGCTGTGGAGAGACCCACATAGCAAACAACGAAGCCTCCTGCCAACAGCCACACAAGTAGGCCTGGAAGCCGGTCCTGCAGTCCCACTCAGGCCTTCAGAGACCACAGCTCCGGCCCCAGTCCCAGCCTGGCTGCAACCTCATGAGAAACCCTAAGCCAGAACCACTCTAGTAAGCCATTCCCAGACACCTGACCCCCAGAAACTGAGAGTCAATGAGGATTTGTTGTTTAAAGCAGCCAAGCTTTGGAGTGATCTGTCATGCAGTGATAGACAACTAATTTAATCACCTCAGAGGCAAGGCCTGGGTCTCCTTCCCCTGATCCCTGCCCCAGGCCTCATGTGGGTGGGATTGAGAGGAAGCACACATGTGAGAATTCATTTACTCAACGAACTCCCTCTCACTGGGGATGCTGAGGTCCTGTGCTGGCGGTGGAGCTGGGTCGAATGGGGCTGAAGGCACCATGGATAAGGGCCTAAGGGGGTTCCCAGTCCACTGGGAGACAGAGAAGTCCCCTCACCTATGAATAACTATGACCCTTTCATCCCCGAAGATAGTGCAAAAGAGGGCTGATGCAGGGCAAAGGGCAGAGTTTGAGGGTTGAAGGGTAGGATGAGGTTTGACAAAGGAGGCGACCTTTGCGAGTGAGTGACGCTGACCGGACCAAGAAGAAAGAGTGTTCCAGGAGGAAGGGAACGGTGTGCCCATAAATAAGCCAGTGCAAGAGCAGAGTATACTGAGAGAGCAGCAAAGGGGGCGGGAGTGACTGGTGGCAAGGGGAGAGGGTCCAGAGGTGAGACTGGTGGGGTCTAGAGGGCAGATGATAAAGGCATTGAATGCCAGGCTGAGGAGTTTAGGCATTATCCTGAGGCACTGGAGACCACTTAGAGAGTTCTAAGTTTTATTTGTGAGACAGGATGCAGGTCCCGTTTGTGGGTAGGCTGGAGGGAGGGCACTAGAGGCAAGGGCATTGACGCAGCATTTACCTGGACAGCAACACCTCCTCCCCAGGGTGCTAAGGGCTATGGCAGAGGAACAGAAAGTCTGGAGAAGCCAGAGGAAACCCCTCGCAATCAGAGGCACTGGGGAAGACTTTTTTGCACAGATAAAATCAGTATTAGAGGATGAGTAGGAATTATCCAGACAAAGGGGAGATAATGGGGAGGAGATGGCATTCCATGGCATCCGACATCATGGGCAAAAGCTCAGAGGTGAGACACTGTAGCTGGCACAAAGAAATGCAAATGGTTCCGAGTGATGGGAGCATGGAGTAAGGGAGGAAGAGAGATGAGGATAGACAGGCTGGGCCAGATGCTGGAGAGTGGCAAATGGCAGGCTGAGAAGCTCGGGCTTGGAGGTGGACGTGTTCCATCTTCCGTTGACCCCTCCAGATCAACTCTGCCTGTCTTTGCCTTTCTCCCTTTCCCAGGAGGCCTACATGCCTGGACTGCAGCCACAGGCCCTCCTTCCCTGCAGCTTCTAGTTGGGCTCAGGCAGTGGGGAACTTGGCAGCAGACTGAATGGAGGAAGGAGAATGAGGTGGGGATGCTTGCTCCTGGCTCCTCCCTTGCAGGGTCACCAGACCTGCTCATGCCCTTTGACCAACAATGGCCCCCACACAGGAGTCTTCCTGGTTCAGGAACTGCTGCTTCCATTCATCCTTCCAGGCCTCAGGGTGGAAACAGTGCACACACTTCAAAAAATGGTTCCTTTTTAAACCCTCCTCAAATTATCCTCTGGTTCCTGCTGGATCCTGATCCTGTGGATTCAGACTGGTCCAAACCCTATCCTAGGAGCAATGGAGGGTCATGGAAGGATGCTAGTAGGGAATGATGCAGTCAGCTTTGTGTTTTAGACAGCTCACTGTGGCTCTGCATGAGGGATCAATGCGGGAGAGCAAGAGGGAGACAGGGCAGAGATGCAGGGCTGAGCTGGGATCCTTGGGATACACAGTGGTGATGCCATGGTCACACAGGGAATTCCAGGGTGTGTGTGCCTGGGGTGGGCAGTGGTTGTGCTTCAGGCTTTTAGTTTTTAATTTTTGGTGGATTGTTTGCAAACATGGCAGTAAGAATCCCTGCATGTGACCACACCCTTTTGTAATATGACATTGCTGCTCCTACCATCCAGAGGGGGATCCTATTCCTTACTCCCTGAATCTGCTGGGTTGTGACTTGCTTTGACCAACAGAATGCAGCAGAAGTGATGCTTGTGAGGTATGCAGCCTAGGACTTGAGTCCGTGCAGCTTTGGCTCTCATTTTTTGGAATCAGCCACCAGTGAATGCTAACAGACCACTCAGTATAGAGAGGGGCCCAGTGTCCATGTGCAAAGAGAGGCCCAGCCCCTCTAGCAATCCTAGCTGTCTCAGCCCCAGCTGACCCCTTGGCTGGATGCAGCTGCAAGACCCAAGAGGAACCACCCAGAGAATCCATAGAATTGTGAGAAGTAATAAATCCTCACGCTCTTCAACCATTAAGCTGTGGTTATTGTTGTTGTTTTTTTTTTGAGACAGGATTTCATTCTGTTGCCCAGGCTGGAGTACGGTGGTGCAATCTCGAGTCACTGCAACCTCCGCCATTTGGGCTCAGACAATCCTCTCACCTTAGGCCTCTAAGTATCTGAGACTACAGGCACAAGCCACCATGCCCGGCCAATTTTTGTATGTATTTCTCTTTTTGTACAAAGGGAGTTTCACCGTGTTTCCCAGGCTAGTCTCAAACTCTTGAGCTCGAGTGATCCACCCACCTTGGCCCCACAAAGTGCTGGGATTACAGATGTGAGCCACCATGCCCAGCCAGCCATTAAGTTTTGAAGTGGTTCGTTATACAGCAGTAGGTAATTACTATGGGCTGTTATTTATCTCCTTTGCAAATCTCCCACTTCCTTCAAGGTCCTGCCCACGTGTCACCTCCTCCAAGTCCTCCCCTCGTCTGTAAATCATCCCTCCCTTCTCTAAACTCCACTGCTTCTTCTTCCTGCTCCTCTTGTGACCCTTATACCACGCTGCCTAATAGGATAATAAGAGGCACTTTCATGAGACATTGGGCACGTTTGTCACCTGGCTTCTAATTCATACATACTGCACATCATTCCACAAAGGACATGGAATAGCTTGTTATCTCATGAACTGTTCACAACATTGAAGGTGGATACTATAGTATTTATTTCTCAAATGACAAAATCGAGGTTTGGAGATGTGGCTTGCCCAGGATCACGGAAAAGAGGCAGAGCCAGAGCCAGGATTGAAACCCAAATGTACACTTCTCTCAGTGCCTGTGTTGTGGTTATGTGATCTGCTCCAGGCAGGGAAGGGTCTGTTTCCCCACTAGAGGGTGAGGGAGAGTCACAAACCCTGGTCCAACCCTCTGTTCCCTCCCTACTGATGCATGGCCCTAACCCAGGAATCTAGAACTCTGGTCAGGGTGTCTGTCCCCATCTTACCCCTCCACACCCCCCACACCCCTGCAGACACATGCACACATCTCACATCTGGTTTCCATTCTCTGTGCTGGCCTGCCCTGTGTCTTAACAAATTGACCCCCGCTTCTTTCCCAACAGAATGGGGCCAGAGGTGGTAAGCTTAGGGTTGATGCATCAGGAAGAAGCGATCAGCATGGTCTGCTCTGGCTCAGTCTCATCCAGCTTCTGGGAAGGTGAGACAGGGCCCCAGGGCCAGGCTGGGGGATCAAGGGTAAGGCTTTGACCAGCCCTCTTGGTTGGGGGTAGAAAGAAAGAGAAGCATGCTAAAATATAATTCTCTCATTTATTGAACTGACATTTATGGAGCCCCCTTTTTTATGCCAAGGTCAGGGGCTTAAGTTACAAAGGGCGAATAAGAGGCGCCTTATGGAGCTCTCAGCCTATGTAATGTCAGAGCTGAGACTCAGAGTCAGTGGGAAAACTGAGGCTCAGAAGGAGAGAAAAGAGTCCTGCCCACAGTCATACAGCCAGTTGATAACAGAGCACAGTCCTCCCTACCCACCTTCCGTGTGCCTCTGGCAGCCACTCCATCACCCAGAGAACCCAGAAACTTGAAGCTACCTAGGGTGAGGGCAGGGGTTTGCTGGCCACCCCTCCTCTCCAGCATGGAGAGGGAGGACCTGGGACATCCAGGGTGCAAGATGACAGGTCTTGTAGGAGAAGGGACTGGAGCTGGTGGCCTCTTTTGTGCTGTCACTCAAGGTCAGAGGAATAAAAACCTTGCTGTTCTCTTTGTTCCCCTGCATTTCCTTTTATAATGTTTGAGTGACATTACAACAGAGATCAGAGACCTCAGAAAACATTCTCCTCCAGCCCTTTCTCCCATTTCACTGAGCAGACAGAAGCCAAGGAGCAGGAGGCTTGCAGAGGTCTTGTAGCAGAAGTGCAGATTGCAGTGCCAGAATCTGGTCTCCTCTTCTGCGTTGCCCGCCCTGACTTACAGCCTGACATGGGTTAGATTTGCAGGAGTCTCGGAAGGCTCTGCAGGTATGTTCAACAAACACCTCCAGGAAGTCTTCTCAGAGCACAGCACCTCCTGCTGGTCTCCCTAATGTTGGCCCTGCCCTTTGGGCTCAGCAGAACTCCAAGTGTTGGTCAGCAGGAATGTTGAACTTAAGTTTGTGGGCCTCGAAGAGGTTGCACAGCTCTTTGATATAGCGCTGGTGCAGCTGGTTCACCTCCTCCTCCGAGGGATGCAGCGTCTTCTGTACCTCGATGGGCTTCCCCACTGCAAGGCATAGAGGCATGCAGTGGCTTAGGGTAGGGAAGGGGACACTGGAGCAGGTGCCCATCCCTATGGTTCATCCCTGCAGAAAAGTGCTCTTACTGCCATTCCTTCCAACCCTAATCTCAGGTAATGAATTTTAAGACATTAGGGCAACCCCAAGATTCTGATATAATAACAATGGCTGGATTTCTTTTCTTTCTTTCTCCGTTTCTCTCTTTCTCTCTTTCTCTCTCTCTCTCTTTCTCCCTTCCTTTCTCTCTCTCTCTCTCTCTCTTTCTTTCCTGCAGAGTCTCGCTCTGTAGCCCAGGCTGGAGTGCAGTGGCACAATCTCAGCTCACTACAACCTCCACCTCCCGCATCCCGGTTCAAGCAATTCTCCTGCCTCAGCCCTCTGAGTAGCTGGGATACAGGCATGCGCCACCATGCCCAGCTAATTTTTGTATTTTTAGTAGAGACAGGGTTTCGCCATGTTGGCCAGGCTGGTCTTGAATTCCTGACCCCATGATCTGCCCTCCTCGGTCTCCTAAAGTGCAGGGATTACAAGTGTGAGCCACCGTGACCGGCCAATGGCTGGATTTCAATGTGTCAGGCAATGTATTAGGTGCTTTACATGAAATACTCCCTATTATCCTATGGGTGTAAAAAACTGTCATTATTCCTATTTGACAGATGAGTCAATGAGGCTCAGAGAGGTTACCTGACTTGTTTAAGGTCACATAGCCAGGAAGAACCACTGCCAGGTTTTAGACCCCGGGGGTGTGCTCTTCACCTTCAGGCTATATGATCTGGGGAGTCCAAGATGCCATGATTGGAAGTGGCTATATTTCTAAGATGGGGTGAGTTCATAGCCCAGGCAGCTCTTCTTTCCCCTCTACCCCTCCACGCTGACCTGCAGTGGATCTCTTATCCCAGGGAGGAATCAGGATGGACCTAACTCATCTCTTTCTCTGGTTCTGCCTGGCTGGGAAGGCAGCTCCTCTGTCCTCTCTTCTGGCGATGGTTCTGGAGGCAGCAGAAGTATTAAAATTCGTGAAAATATTGCCACACAACATGGGTGGGGGGTCATGATGTAGGGGTTTACCAAGTCTGCTCAATTAGCAAGTGGATGGATGGAGATGAGATAAATGGACTTCTCCCTATAAAGTCTTTCGGAGGCCAGGCATGGTGCCTTATGCCTGTAATCCCAGTACTTTGGGAGGCTGAGCCTGGGGGATCACTTTAGGTCAGGAGTTCGAGATGAGCCTGGCCAACATGGTGAAACCCTGTCTCTACTAAAAATACAAAAATTACCCAGGCGTGGTGGCATGCACCTGTAATCCCAGCTACTCTGGAGGTTGAGGCAGGAGAATCGCTTGAACCCGGGAGGTGGAGGTTGCAGTGAGCTGAGCTCATGCCACTGCACTCTAGCCTGGGCAACAGAGCAGGACTCTGTCTCAAAAAAAAAAAAAAAGAATTAAACCCACCTTTTCCAGCATTGTGAAAAGTCAGAATGATCCTAATAAAAACCTCAACTTTGTTATACAAAAACAGTGTGATATTTTGGAAGATACTTAACTTCTCTGAGCCCCAGTTTACATCAATGAAATGGGTATAGTAACTCCTGTCTTGAAGGTATGGCCAGGCGCAATGGCTCATGCCTTTAATTCCAGCACTTTGGGAGGCCAAGGCAGGCGGATCACTTGAGGTCAGGAGTTTGAGACCAGCCTGGTCAACATGGTGAAACACCATCTCTACTAAAAATACAAAAATTAGCTGAGTTTTGTGGTGAGCAACTGTAGTCCCAGCTACTCGGGAGGTTGAGGCATGAGAATTTCTTGAACCCGGGAGGCAGAGGTTGCAGTGAGCCAAGATTGTGCCATTGCATACAGGCTTCCTGCCTTGAAGGTTGTTAGAATAAGCTGAGTTGCTTCATGTAGGGCAGCTAGTGTAGTGCCTGGCACACAGTAGATGCTCAGCAACTGGTCGCAACTATTGCTCTTGGCACCTCTGCTATAGTTCCTATCCCAGACTGTCTTCTATTCTATCTGCTTGCGTGTGTATGTTTCCCAATCTAGAATGTGAGCCCCATTAGGGCAGGAATAAATCTGGCCCATCTCCACGTCCCCTTGCAGCACACAACATAGCCTCCTCCCTCCCAGCCTGGTCCTGGACTTACCCACAGTGGTGATGGGCCGGCGGTAGGGTATTAAACCAAAGCTGTACTGGAAGACACCACGGCCATGAAAGAGTGGGAGGGAGATGCCCATGATCTTCTGCAACCGATTCTGGATACAGCGCAACCAGGAGCCAGAAGAGTTGGGAATCTGGTCAAATAGGTCATTCTCCCCGAAGGAGAAGATCGGCACCAGGGGTGCCCTGGAGACAAATAGAGGAAAGAGGGCATGTGGGAGGCCCCAGAGAAGGCACAAGCTGAAAGGCCCTTTAGCTTCCTTCAGGGACTCTGTGACCAAGAAATGGAGCAGAGGTCAGCCACCTGGGCTGGAAGTGGAGGCCTGGGTTATCTCCCAGACCTTCACAGCCCCATTCTCTGACCTTGGGCAGGTCCCTTGCAGGGCCACAACTTCCCAGTTGCACCATGAGAGGCAGACCAGCATGCTTCAGACAGTCCTCCCAGATATAAAAATCTGCATTGTTTTTCCCAGAAAAATCTCTCCCACCTCAGCTGGCTCATGTTTCTCAAGGATGCTTCACCCCAAGTAGGGAGAAGAGCTCTGAAATGTACCCCAAATATCACTCTTCTAGATATCATAGGTCTCAGGTCAAGTGCCAGTTTTGTGGAATATGTTCATTGCCACCTAGTTTCTTAGATTACTGAGTCTCCCTTGTGGAAACTTCTCTAGGTATTTGGGCGTGAGACACCAAAATATAATCTTCATTGTGAATGGACTGAAAATCTCTACCAAAATAGAATCTGCATTCGTCTCTGCCCTTTTCCCACCAAAATAAAATCCTTGCCAATCGCCAACTGAAACCAGAGTGCTCTTCCCAGAGGCTTGATACCCGTGTGTCAGGGCAAGCCTGATGAAGCCCTTTCGGTTCCGCAGTAACAGCGTGAAGGATCCAGGCCTGGCATCCAGGGCCTCCTGGGCACCCCCTACAATGATGCCCAGCAAGTTTCCGCCACCCTTCCTGTTCAGAATGTGAGCAGCGCTCTCCTTTTCTGATGTGACCAACCCTGCGGAAAGAGAAAGGTGGGTCAGGTATGGGGTGAGGGAGCAAGGGCTATGAAAGCACATAGAGCCCATGAAAGAGATCACCAGCAAGGCCTGGGGTTGCCCCCACTGCACCCCATTCCAGCTAGGAGCTCCCTGAGTCCTCTCCCTCTTCCCAACCCACTGATGGACTTAGCACCCAGCATGGTGCTGTAGGAAGTGCTTCTTTGGGCCCAGCCTCCTTCTCCTACTGCACACGCTCTTGGAAGAAGTACAGAACTGTTGGCAACTCTCCTGAAAATTTGTTACCTTCCTGAGCTGCCCAGGGGTGGAAACACTCACCTGCGGACATGATGTAATCTCTGAAGAAGGGGGCCCGGAACCACAAGGTCAGCATCATCAGATGGGGGCGGATACCGGGGAAGATCGAAGAGAAGCCTGTGCTCTCAGTGCACAGGTTGGCAAAGGCTCCAGCTGCCAGGACTCCATGGGGGTGGAAGCCCGCAATGTAGTTCCGAGAGGGGTCCAGCTCAGCAGTCTTGACCAGCTGCAGGGACAGCAACCTACTGAGCCAGGGTGGGGCCTGTGTTCCAACCCTGACTCTTCCCCTCACTGGTGTGACCTTGGGAAACCCCCCTGAGCCTCCAGGTCTTCATCCATATGTCTGACCACCCTGGGTTCTTATGAAGATTCAGATATGGTGTGTGACAGCACCTGGAGATACCATGGTGCTGGCTGTGCCACAGAGTTGATGCTGGCTTGGGACAAATTGCTTCCCTCTCCTACAGACTCCTCATTTATAAAGTGGCAATACAGTATTTGGCCCTGTCCCTACTACCTCCTAGGGCTACTGAGAAACTCAAGCATGATGGTGCCTGGAATTATTTATACCAACACCACCTGTACAGGATATAACATGAAGGCATCAAGAGGCTACACAGGGGTATCAACATGCTGAAATAGCCGCATTTTGAGAAAAACAATGTTCCGGCCAAGCATGGTGGCTCATGCCTGTAATCCCAGCACTTTGGGAGGCCAAGGCTGGTGGATCACCTGAGGTCAGGAGTTTGAGACCAGCCAGGCCAACATGGTGAAACCCCATCTCTAATAAAAATACCAAAAATTAGCTAGGTGTAGTGGCAGGCGCCTGTAATCACAGCTACTCAGGAGGCTGAGACAGGAGAATCACTTGAACCTGGGAGGCGGAGGTTGCAGTGAACCGAGATCGCACCACTGCACTCCAGCCTGGGCAACAAGAGCAAAAAACTGCATCTCAAAAAAAAAAAAAAAAGAAAAAGAAAAGCATTTGTGCATAGAGAAACACCCTGGTGAGTGGAAGGGCCTGTGTCTAGGTCACTGAGCCAATATTAGAATGGGCATCTACACGCACATTATCTATTGTGGTCCCACAGAGCATGCAGTTGGATACGTGCACATAGATACATGTAATAATACTGGCTCAGTGACCTAGACACAGGCCCTCCCACAGTGCAGGCACTTGGATACTAAGGTGTGGTCTGCACCTCCCTAGATGTGGTCTCTATTGGTATCTTTCTATGCTAACCTCTTTCATCTGTCCCCTGGACCCAAATCTATCACAACATCCCTGTGAAGATTACAGACCATGTGTCTGTTCCAGTGCAGGCCTGGAACAGAGGAGATGCTCTGGAAAGGGTATGGCATGAAGGAAGGAAGGAATAAGCCCAATGGATGAGGATGGTGCAACCTCAGAAGGAAGGCTCCCTGACCCCAATCCTATCCTGGCATGTTACCAGGGTTCCACTAGTGAGAAAAAGAACCTTGAGTCGGGAGACCCAGGTTCTGCCGCTGGCTCATCACATGACCGTTGTCAGGCCCCTGTCCCCTCTGTGGCTCAATTATTTCTGTCCCACAGGACACTGATAACGCCTCCCTGGCAGGGTTGCTACTGTGTTTAAGGGGGTAAACAAAGAAGAGAGGAGACTTGTGAAGTGCTGTGGTCTGTCTCCCTCCCTCAGTTCTGTTAGGTGAAGGGAGTGTGACTAAGCGAAGATGGATGGCTGTCTGGGGAAAATCCTGCCTGGGTGCATGCCCTGGCAGGCTGGGTGTGCAGCAGGCAGTGGGGCCTGGAGAAGGGCATAGCCAGGTTACTAGGCTCTGGGGGTTGTTATCGCTTTTAGTTGATATGACTTATATACCATAAAATGTATCCATTTTAAGTATGAAATTCAGGGTTTCAGTACATTTAAAAGGTATGGGATAGGTGTGGTGGCTCACACCTCTAATCTTAGCAGCCTGGCAACACAGTGAGACTCCATCTCTACAAATATTTTTTTTAAAGTTGTGGTGGTGCGTGCCTGTAGTCCAAGCTACTTGGGAGGCTGAGGCGGGAGGATTGCTTGAGCTCAGGAATGAGGCTGCAGTGAGTTATGATTGCACCACTGCACTCCAGCCTGGATTACAGAAAGAGATCCTGTCTGTCTTTCTTTTTTTTTGAGACAGGGTCTTACTCTGTCGCCCAGACGCGAGTGCAGTGGCACAATCTCGGCTTACTGCAACTTCTGCCTCCCAGGCTCAAGCAATCCTCCTGCCTCAGCCTCCTGAGCACCTGGGATTACAGGTGTGCACCACTACCGCCAGGCTCATTTTTGTATTTTTAGTGGAGATGGGGTTTCACCATGTTGGCCAGGCTGGTCTTGAGCTCCCTCAGCCTCCCAAAGTGCTGGGATCACAGGTGTGAGCCACCACACCTGGCCAAGATCCCGTCTTTAAAAAAAAAAAAAAAAAAAGTGTGTTACCAATCAATATCTAATTCCAGAGCATTTTCAACACTCCAAAATAAACTCATACCTATTAGAAGTCACTCCCCCTCTCCCCAGCCCCTGGAACCACGAATTCACTTTTTGTCTCTATGGATTTGCCTGTTCCAGACATTTCACGTAAATGGAATCATATAATATGTGGCATTTGTGTCTGGTTTCCTTCATTTAGCATGATTGGAGGTTTATCTATGTTATAGTATGTATCTGTACTTCATTCCTTGCTGTGACTGTATACTATTCCATTTTATGGACATTCTACATCTTGGATGTCCATTCATTAGTCAAGGACATTTGAGTGGTTTCACCCTTGGGCCATTACAAATAACGTGGCCACGAGCACTTGTGTACAAGTCTTGGTGTGAAAATGTTTTCAGTTCTTTGGCAGGGGCTACAGGGGCGCTTTTTTAACCCCAAGACGCTCTTCAGTCCCTGCCTAAACGATCACAGCACCACATAGGGCTCTCCGGGAGTGGACATCTGGACATTGAGTGGGAGGGAGGACAGCGGGGGACTGCTATGTCTCTACTGTGTCTGTCCATTCCCATTTCTCCACAAACGAACTTGTGCCCCCTCACAGCCGTGGGTCAACTGAAGAGCCTCAAGAGCCCACTGTCCTAACAGATTCTTTATGGTTCACAAAGCAGCCATGCTGTTAGCTTGTTTAATGTTCAATCTGGCCCTAGGGAGGCTGGCTGGAGTATGATAGGCCCAGTGTGACAGTCCAGCAAACTGAGCTGTGGAGACCTGCCCTGAGCCACACAGATGGCTCTGAGTTCTGCCACCTCCTGCAGAAAGCATCAGAGAGAGACAGAGAGAGAGAGAGACAGAGAGAGAGAGCGCAAAGTGAGCCAGGAAGCCTTTGTTCCAGACCCAGGGAAATATCCTGGCACTCAGGACTGTCTTTGGGGCCTTTCACTCACTAGTCAGACTTGGAAGGTCCAGAGTTCTCTCGATTCCCTTCTCCCAGGAGAAAGTGGCTCCTGCATCAACAACCTGCCTCGCACTGCTCCAGGGCCTGGCATGGGAGAGCTTGTTCATGGCCTATTTATGTGCTTAGATTAATTGGCAGGTTAAAAATGCTGGGCATGCAGGGTCTGATTCAGTAGGTCTGATCTGGCCTTGGGCATCTGATTTGTGACAGATTTCCCAGAGGATTTGGTTACACATCAAAATTCAAAAATCCCCTTTCAGGTTCAGGCTGTTAGCGCTGTGTGTGTGTGTGTGTGTGTGTGTGTGTGTTTAGGGACTAGGGTACTTCCCTGTCTCCCCCTATCCAGCTCAGATGGATGGAAAGGCTTGGATATTCTCCTTGGCCCTGGCTGTAACTCCCTGTGGCCCTGGGTAGGACTTTGGCCTCCCCAGTCCACTCTGTTGATAAGTTATTAGCTGGTTCTCGCCCCACCATAGTCACACATTCACTTCACAGACACGCATTGATACCCATGGACACATCCCCTCAATTCTAACATGCGCACTCTCCCTGCCCACTTGTTGAAGAAATACAGTAAGTGCCAGGCCCTGAGAGCTGGAAAGAGTGCCAGAGTTGGTAAACACTCCCAGTATCTACCAGGCCCCAGGCACCTTGCGTACACCAACTTGCCTCACCCTCCGTCAACCGTATGAGGGAAGTATTGTATCATTGCTCCCCGCACTTAGCAGATGAGGAGATGGAGACACAAGGTTCATTAACTAGTTGTGGGTCATATAGCTAGTATAGACTTAGAGCCAGGGTTTGAACCCAGAAGCCTGGTTCTATGTGTGTAACCAGGAGGCTCTGCCACCCTGTAGGAGTCCTAAGTAAAAGGGGATTCATGGGGTAAGAGGGTGCACTCCAAGTAAGAGCGCCAGCACAAGTGATGTAGCTCATGCCTAGACAGCTCGGATGGCAAAGGGAGGACAAGCAGGTGAGGGGTGGGTGGGGTGCAGGGACTGGAAAGCTGCAGCAAAATAGACTTTATGAGCCAGGGGAGTCACTGTCACTGCAGTATTTCACTCATTTTATGAGGATTATTCCAGCCGCAGTGTGGTGGATGGACTGCTGGGGGCATTGGCAGAAGTAGAACCAAGATAAAGAGATATGTATGGTCAGGGCTTAGGGCCAGGTGAGGAGAAATCAGGCTGGAGGAGTTTAGGAGGCAGAGCCCAGGGCTTAGAGCAGTGGTTCTTCACTGGGGCAAGTGTATGCCCCCAGCTCCTCCCCCTCCCCTAACAGAAGTCATTTGGTAATGTCTATAAATGTTTTTGGCTGTCACAACAGGGAGGGATAGTGCTACTGGCATTGAGTGAGTAGATGCCAGGGGTGCAGACAGTCCCCATAACATAGAATAATACAGCCCCAAATTTGAATGGTGCCCAGGTGGACAAAGCTACCTGGAGGGTTACCTGGCTGTGGGGTGCAGTGGACCAGAATAGGGTGGGAGGCCCCCAGTCCCTGCAAGGCAGCCCTGGGGCTAAGGGAACCACTGTGCTCTGTGCCAGCTCTCCCTGCCCATGGCAGAGGTAGGACTCCTGGGAGGGTCCTGGAGATGCGCCCCAGCTCCATGTGAGAAGACCTCTCAGGCAGAGCCTTCCTATAACCAAGGGGGCAATCTCAGGGGGAAGCACGTATCCTAGATTGTGTAAACTGGGATTTCTGTCCTGGGTGAAAGCTGGGCACCTGAGTCCCAGTGACGCGGGTTAAGAGACCCAGTGCTGAGAGGTGGTGGCTAGGAGGTCAGGCACTAAGGCCCTAGAGATGCCTGGCAGGCTGCAGAAGGCCTGAGGGTTTGTCACACGTGTGTGTGGGTGGGGTCAAGGAGGTGGCCTGCAGGCTGCCCCAAGCCTGGCTCTGACAGTGACAGGCACGGTGCAGGCAGCATTTCCTGACAGCTGGTCACAGCCCTGGTCATAGCCCTCGGTGCCTAAGGCCTTGGCCCATGGAGACCGTGTTTGCTCCAGATGACAAAATCTTCAGTGCCAGGGAAACCCAGAGCCTGGGTGGGTCTTCAGTATCACGTGGGAACAGCTCCTCCTACACAAAACATTGCCTGACGCTCCACAACTAGCTCTGTGGGAAGCTGATCGGGTGACTTTAGAAAGTTCCGAGGCCCAGAAACGGTTTCTGAATTTTTCTTGAAATTCCATCACCAGGTGCTAGTTCATAAAAGCACAGTAAGAACTGATAAAAGCTCAGAAATAACTGGACAGCCACATGTATATGGCAGGGGAGTGTAGAGGTTTGTGAATGGTGGGGGAGTTCAGCAGAGCTGGGTCTCCCTACTGTCTGCTCACCCTTCAGGACTTGGGCAGTAAAGGTGTGTGGGAGGGTGGGAGGGTCTATGGAAAGAGAGTCTGCAGGCCACAGCCCCACCCAACAGGCCCAGCTTAGAACATAGTCAAAATGAACATCATCTCGCCCTCTGCTGGCCACTCTGTGGCATTGCCACCTTCGGCAGATGGTGCTGCAAAGGGCCTGCGGTGAGCAAGGATTCTGGGAAAAAAAACACACACACACACACAAAAACAAAAAACGGTGCACAGGAGCAGACACAGTGGCTGACGCCTGTAATCCCAGCACTTTGGGAGGCCGAGGCGGGCAGATCATCTAAGGTTGGGAGTTCAAGACCAGCCTGGTAGACACAGTGGCTGACGCCTGTAATCCCAGCACCTTGGGAGGCCGAGGCGGGCAGATCATCTAAGGTTGGGAGTTCAAGACCAGCCTGGTCAACATGGTGAAACTCCGTATCTACTAAAAAAGTACAAATTAGCCAGGAGTGGTGGTGGGTGCCTGTAATCCCAGTTACTCAGGATGCTGAGGCAAGAGAATCGCTTGAACCTGGGAGGTGGAGGTTGCAGTGAGCCGATATAATGCCACTGCATTCCAGACTGGGCAACAAAAGTGAAACTCCGTCTTGAAAAAACAAAAACAAAACAAACAAACAAAAAAACAAACAAACAAAACGGTGCACATAGAATTTCTGCAAATCGAGGCCTGTGTCCCACCAGTGTTAACAGTACTAAGGTTGAGATATCCTCCTCAAGAGCCACCTGGCTGAGGAAGGAGCAGGAAGGACGTTGATAGGGTAGGTGCAGAGCTGCCTCAGCATTTCTGCCAGACCTGCAACTGGAAAGGCTCCAGGTGCACAGAGGGCCAGATGCTGTCCTTTGAGGCCCTTGGGCTGGCTGAAGACACCCCAGGAGAACTTTCAGGTGAGCAGTCCCAGTCCTGCAGAATGGCCTCCAATGGCCTCCACCCTCTGACCTGAGGGCCTCCCCAGCCTCCTCTGCAGGCCTGCGTTCTGCTTTAGCCATGCTGGATGTCAGCCTGTGGCTCAGAACTCACCGTGAGGCAAGTGTCTGGGCCTGTGCTTGTGTGTTTGCCTTTTCAGGCTGCTTTTTTTCCCCCAGTGGGCTTGGGATTCAGCTCAAGAGCGGGAAGTGAGACCAGAACCTCCAAAACTCTCCGGGAGGCCAGAGCCTGCTTCAGGTTTTCTTTGGCTTGGTCCCTGGTGTCACACACACGTCCCCAGGCTGGCCACAGCACACTTTCCCGGGGAGACTCTGACCTTCCTGGCACAGAAGAGGAAGCCCAGGCTGGAGAGAGGAGAGGCAGGAAAGGGAGGTGAATCTCAAAGTGCAGAGGTCCTGGGGTGGGGATGAGGACTGTGCCTCTGACACATCCGTGGGCTGCTCCCAGAACTCAGCAAGCCCTAAGTTTCTTTGCTGACAAGACCCTGGAGGGGGCCTTGCAGGAAACACATATGAGGGGCAGGGGAGACTGCCCCCCTCCTGAGCCCCCCAGGCTAGACCATGTTCTGCCTTTCCACATCTACCACCCCTCGTGAGCAAGGGACGGAAGAGTAGGCTTCCCCAGCAGAGTGGGAGAAGTTACATAGGTGTGGGAGGTCAGAGCAGCAGGACTCTCAGAGGTCCTCTCCAGACTCGAGTCACGACCACGCGCTTCTCAGAGTCCCACTGCCAAGGTAAAAATAATACTAGCACCTGTTACTGAAAACCTACAAAGTGCTAGCCGGGCACGGCGGTCACGCCTGTAATTCCAGCACTTTGGAGGCTGAGGTGGGCGGATCACCTAAGGTTGGGAGTTCGAGACCAGCCTGACCAACATGGTGAAACCCCGTCTCTACTAAAAATAAAACAATTAGCCAGGCATGGTGGCCGGCACCTGTAGTCCCAGCTGACACGA